GCGTCGCAGCACTGCTTGAGCATGTTGCCAAAGTCGCCGGTGGTTTTGAAGTTGGACATGTCGCTGCCGGCAAAGTCCGTGTTCCACTCGGGCGCGCCGCAGGTCCGGGCGTAGGTCATGGCCATTGCAGCCAGGAGCACCGTCGTCGTGAGCAGCTGCATGATATTCGTGGTGGTGGTGTCGATGGAGTTGCGAGCAAATCGGTAAATGAATGCAAGCGTTGCTACTGCTGGACTGCGAGGCGGAGTCTTGCATCTAAAAACGATGGGAAAAGGGTGGAATAAGGACAGCGTCGAGGCGCCGACGTCACTTCTTGCTCGGTCGCTTGACGACTACCATCCGTCAACGACGCAGATCGTGGTCGGAGAGGCTACCTGTTACGTCGAGGAAGGATCCTTGAGCCACACGTGGATCGGATTGGCTGAATGAAATCTCGAAAGGCGTTTGATTGGCTCGTTTTACGACGAGCGATCGCCGTCCATACTTTCGACCTCTCCGAGCGCCACGTCATTGTCATATGATATGCCGTTGGAATCGATGGTACTGCACCGGGGCAGTTGCAGGGACTTTGGGTGGCAGTGATCTGCACGCGCTGGGATCACGGATGACAGACCGTGCTCTATCTAATTGGCTGCAAGTGGCGATGGCGACCGCAGTCGCAAGCCAGTAGCTTGGGTGGTGTTGCAGTTGCGGCGGCCTCGTTGAAGTTGCGAAAGCGATCTTATATTGTGCACTTCCTCGTATCCGCCGCATCCGGACGGACGCCAAATTTCCTGTCATTCCCACGGCCAAGTCAACACCAAAGAAGATATGCATCGCTCCTGAGAACACGAGCGTTCCAACACCAACGAGTACCTTCTACCAAGGACATTTCTGGCCGTCGTCACCCATTTGACAACGAGCGCATGGCCAACAAGTACCTGGCAGAAGGAGAGAGGACAACAATCCATCGCAGGTTTTGCGAGTACACAAGTAGCGGTGATGCATATATCACGCTTCCAGATTCACAATCTGCGCCATCGATGGGACCCAACATATCTTTCACGCAGCATCTGGTCGTTTCGAAATCGACGAGCGTGATGGCGGCCTTGGACTTGTTGCACAAGCAGACGAATGAAGTGCCCCATGTTGTGCGTGATCGAGTGGCCTCGCCTTCTAAAGCACACCAAGCAGTCCGCAACCAGTTGACCAAGACAGCGGGAAGGATCTTAATATCGCTGTGGATGAGGCAGATCGGACTAGTCAAGCAGACGCGGTTGCCCTTCGTATGCAAGAAGATCGTCGTGCCTTGGCCTCGGTTTGAGTTTGAGCGCGCTGGCCCACTTGTCTAGCGCTGGCTTGAGGATTTCGAACGGCAGCGTGTTCAGGCCTGTCGATTTCAGCGCATCTGCATGCAGTTGTAGAACTTCAAGACCGGTACCTCGAGGCGCGCAGCCATGTCCGGCATGAGTCGCATCTTGATTGTCGAGTGGAGAACCTGGGCGACCTCGCGTGCCTTCCCCTTCAACAGCGTGCAGCGACATGCCAAAACCTCTTAAAGAGAGATGTAGACCGGACCATCAGCGTCACGGATCTGGTAGATCGATCGAGTTCCAGCTTCTAGATCGGCCATGACTGCACGTGGTCCGTGGTGCATCGAATGACTTGGACAAGATACCTTTGTCAACACCAACATAGACGTTACTGGTCACACAAGAACCTTGCCGCATGGCGACGGCCTTTCTAGGCAAAACGCCAGTTGATTGGTCTATTGGTTCAAAAACCAAGTTATAAAATCCATTTATGGTTATGCAAACTAGCAAAACATGCAAAAAACGGTACTTTCCAGCCGTGCGGTAGACATTGTCTTACCATGTGACCGTGGGGACAGACGCGGCTCTCGCGCCAACCTTGCTTGAACGCATCCCCGTCGCCGACTTGAGGTAGCAGACGCCTTCAAACAAGACATACGCGTTGCACTGACTGTTCTTCAAGCACGTATCGCAGCACTGGCCGATCATTGCGTTTACATCGCCTGTCGCCTTGAAGTTGGCAATGTCGTTGCCAAAGTAGTCGTAGTCAACTTCGGGGTTGCTGCAGTAGCGGACGCTGGTACCCGGCAGAGGCGGCACGATCGCGGACGTCGCGCCGTTGACTGGCCGCGAGTTGATTGCGACGGTCTTGAGGTAGCAGACGTTGTTGGCGAGCGTGTACGCGCTGCACGTGGCGATGGCCTTGCAACCGTCGCAGCACTGCTTGAGCATGGTGCCAAAGTCGCCGGTCGTACCGAAGTTGGAGATGTCGTTGCCGTAGTAGTCGGTGTTCCAGACCGGTGCGCCGCAGGTGCGGTTGCCCGCCGGCGTCGGAGTAGGCGTCGGTGTCGTCGTCACATATGTCGTCTTGGCCGAGACCACGCCTGGCTTCGCCTTGCGCCCAGCGTCCGACGACTTGAGGTAGCACACGCCGTTGGCCACCGAGAACGCCGTGCACCACCGGGTCTTGCTGCACGCGTTGCAGCACGCTTGGAGCTGGTCGGCTTGGTTGCCCGAGACCGCCACGTTGGAGATATCGTTGCCGTAGTAGTCGACGTTGATCTCCGGCGCCGAGCATGTACTCACTGGCGGCGACGTGCCCGACATGAGCACGGACGTGGCGCCGGTCTTGGGCTGGCGACTGCCGGCGCCCGACTTGAGGTAGCAGACGTTGTCAGCGAGCGTGTAGGCGACGCACGTGCTGCTGGCCGTGCACGCGTCGCAGCACTGCTTGAGCATGTTGCCAAAGTCGCCGGTGGTTTGAAGTTGGGCATGTCGCTGCCGGCAAAGTCCGTGTTCCACTCGGGCGCGCCGCAGGTCCGGGCGTAGGTCATGGCCATTGCAGCCAGGAGCAACAGATCATCGTGAGCAGCTGCCTGCTCTTGGTGGTGGGGGGGGTCGATGGGAGTTGCGAGCAAATCGGGTAAATGAATGCAAGCGTTGCTACTGCTGGACTGCGAGGCGGAGTCTTGCATCTAAAAACGATGGGAAAAGGGTGGAATAAGGACAGCGTCGAGGCGCCGACGTCACTTCTTGCTCGGTCGCTTGACGACTACCATCCGTCAACGACGCAGATCGTGGTCGGAGAGGCTACCTGTTACGTCGAGGAAGGATCCTTGAGCCACACGTGGATCGGATTGGCTGAATGAAATCTCGAAAGGTGTTTGATTGGTGCGTTTTTACGACGAGCGATCGCCGTCCATACATTCGACCTCTGCGCGTGCCACGTCACTGTCATATGATATGCCGTTGGAATGGGTATGGGTGTGCGTGCAGGTGTGCTCGGTCTGGAAGGAGGCAAGGCTGCGAGCATGCTGGGACCCCGTACGTAGAGGTGTTCTCTCTAATTGGCTGCAAGAGGAGCCTGGCTACCTGGCTCTACTCTGGCGACCGCAGTCGCAGTCGCAAGCCCGTGGCTTGGGTGGTGTTGCAGTTGCGGCGGCTTCATTGAAGTAGCGAGAAGGGTCTTCTTCCGCTTCCCCATATCTGATGTATCCGGACAGGCGCCAAATTTCGTGCCATTCCCACGGCCAGCAAACACACGGAAGGAGGAAGGGATTGCGTTTTAGAACCAAAGCGTCCCGACGACACTGTGTGGGCGACCTTCTCCGAACGGGTCGCCGGTTGTTGTCATCTATCCCGCGGCGCGCCCATCGAATGCCCACGGCGTTGCACCAGTGTAGTACATGGTAGGAGGACAATCAGGTTTGCGTGGGATTGTGCGAGTATTTAGCTGCGATGCCCCAACTCATATTGTATCCCATTTTCAGATCCACAACCAGGGCCGTCGTTGGGACCCGGCACTGCGGAGAAGAATCTGTATGTTGATGTTGATAAGATGCGGCTGTGGTTTTGATCCAACACAAATGCCTTCGAAAAAAGCTTTCTACAACATATTCCAGAGCCCATTTCGTGGCCGTTCGTGTCAGTGCCGCCTAGGTTGATGTGCACTTGATATATATAGCGCTACCTGCCGCATGGTGCTTTGGAGCTTAAAACCTAGAGAGGTAGAATACTTGGCGCCACCAAAATATCGTTGGTGCGCTAAACTCTTCTATCGATCAAGCTGGCTCGCACCAAAGACTGACGGTCCTGATGCATCCGCGCAGTGATGCATCCGCGTTTCATAGAATGAGATCACACAACCGTCGACAGCGTTGGGATACGGAAGATAGTGCAGTGGACGACAGGTGTTGAGAGGGACGGGGTCTGACGAGCCGTCGCTCCTTATTTCGCAGCAGTTGTAATGACGCGTCGTATACAGTCAGCATATGCTGCACTGACACGAACGACCACGATGGGTCCATGAATATTTTGCGTGGAGTTTTTCTTTCTCCGCACTGCTGGGTCCCAACGATGGCGCGGATTGTGGATATTGTACCAGGTAGTGTGAGGGTAGTAGTGGGAGAGGGGATGGTGCGAGAAGCTCAATGCGCCATTCCAAGCAAACCTACGATGGGCTGTTTCATTTGCTTCTTTCGCCAGGTACATGTGTGTGTTATACCGTGCCCGTACGCCACTCGATAGAGGATAATACCTCTGAAGAAGGTTGCCCACTCAGTGGTGTTGGAACGCTCATGTTCACAGGAGCGATGCATATCTTCTTTGGTGTTGGCTTGGCCGTGCGAATGACATGAAATTTGGCGTCCGTCCGGATGCGGCGGATATTGGAAGGCGTTAGAATCCTTTTCGCTACTTCAACGAGCCCGCCGCAACTGCAGCACCACCCAAGCTACTGGCTTGCGACTGTGGTCGCCAGATTGGAGCCTGGTAACCAGGCTCTAGTAGCAGCCAATTGCAAAGGACGTTCATCTATCTGTGGTCCCAGTATGCCTGCACCGTTGCCTTCTTCCGGCCCAAGCCCACCACCACACACGTACCCATTCCAACGGCATATCATATGGAAATGACGTGGCAATCGAGGAGGCCGTCAAAAATGGACGGCGATCACTCGTCGTAAAACGAGCCAATCAAAGGCCGTACGATACATTTTCAGCCAATGCGATCCACGTGCAGGCTTGGTTCAATGAAATGAAATGCATCGTGCAACAAGGTACAGTGCGACCACAATCCACACAGATAGGTATCTCGTCGGCGTACCCTCTACCACTTGCGTTGGCGCCACATCACAGAGCACGATCCAAAGCGATTCTGGCCACAAATATCTGTGTCTAATCGTCATCCTACCGACCAAGCAGTGCGTCAATAGTTTTGCCATTCCACCCTTCTTCCTAGCACTTATCGCACTTATCGAAGACTGCGCCCTCGCATCGCAGTCCAACGCCATATACAGTCGACGCTCACATACCGAGTTCATTTTCCGATTTGCTCGCAACTCCATCAGCAGTACCACCACGATTACCATGCAGCTGCTCACGACGACGGTGCTCCTGGCTGCAATGGCCTTCACCACGACATACGCCCGGACCTGCGGCGCGCCCGAGTGGAACACGGACTTTGCCGGCAGCGACATGTCCAACTTTAAAACCACCGGCGACTTTGGCAACATGCTCAAGCAGTGCTGCGACGCGTGCACGGCCAGCAGCACGTGCGTCGCCTACACGCTCGCTGACAACGTCTGCTACCTCAAGTCGGGCGCCGGCAGTCGCCAGCCCAAGACCGGCGCCACGTCCGTGCTCATGTCGGGCACGTCGCCGCCAGTGAGTACATGCTCGGCGCCGGAGATCAACGTCGACTACTACGGCAATGATATCTCCAACGTGGCGGTCTCGGGCAACCAAGTCGACCAGCTCCAAGCGTGCTGCACCGCGTGCAGCAAGACCCGGTGGTGCACGG